GACTGGCTTTGAACTCACAGAGATCTGCCTGCCTCTGCCTCCGAGTGCTGAGATTAAAGGTGTCACCACTATGCCTGGCTGTGGATCTTATGGTTGTCACATTAGGCAAGCGCTTTACCACTGAACTACAGCCCTAGCTTGGAAAAAAATCAAGGCTTTTCTGGATCTAGGTCGTCTTTAAAGACAGGAGTTGGACCTGGGGTGCGAAGCGGCTCGGAAAAGTGGCAGACTTCCCACTGATGACTGCGCTTTCAGACCAGCCTTTCCTGTAGAAGCTCTATCTCAGAAGCAGCTTTCCTTTCTTCTGGACAAGACAATTATCTGGGGGATGGGGCTGTAGTCCAGTCTGGTAGAGTGCTTTCCTAGCATGCTCGAAGCCCTGGGTTTGATCCCCAGCACCAGGTAAAACCAGGTATGATGGACACGTCTGTAATCCCAGTACTCTGGAGATGGAGGCAGGAGACCCAGGAGTTCAGAGTTGCTCTTGGTTAAAGAGGGGTCAAGGCTAGCCTGGGATACCTGAGACCATGTCTCAAGGAAGAAAAATATTATCTAGTTATTCCAGAGGTGGGAGAGTATGAATGATGCCAGTTTGGGATCTAGGGATTATACTGTAGGTGGGATGGGGGTTGGGGGAGGATGGCAGGAGGAGAAGGGCCCCACACGCTAGAGGTCTGTTCTGGTCTTGCTGCTGAGTGGCACTCTGACCCCCACAGCTTTCCTTGAAGGTTCCAGGTGCTTCCTTCAGGGCTCCACCACACTCCTGTACCAGAGGCCCACACCTGCTGTCCCTCCCCGCCAGGTGCACATCTACTTAGCACCAGCTGCCCCCACCTCTGAAGGAAAGTAAAGAAAAGTTCTTAACAGTCCAGGGTGGATCCACACCTCATGCCCCCCACCCCCCGTGGCTCCTCAAGACTGTGTACACACTAGGGCCAGGGAACCAACTGGGAGGAAGAACACTCCCAGATTCCAGCCGGTGATGTTGGGGGGTGGCCTTCACGACACCTGCGCCCACACAGCACTGCCGGAGGACCTGACACTCTCCGCATCTGTGTATACCCCTAGGGGCGGGGTATAGAACGATATGTAAGCCTCCCTTACTAAGTTCTGTTTCCATCTGCATGTGCGTGGGCACGTGCGTGCACAAGTGCATGCCTGAGCGCTGGGAGGGAGCAGGTCACAGACCCACCTCAGATGCTCTTCCTCAGGAGCCACCCACCTTATTCTTTTTGAGGTGGGGTCTTTCACTAGTCTTTTCACTAGATGGTGAGAGCTAGCCAAGGAGGCCAGGTTTCTGGCCTGCAAGCCCCAGGGATCTACCTGGATTTGCCTTCTCAACACTGGGATTAGAAGGTCGCAGGCCCGTGAGCTGGGTGTACTGGCACACACACCTTAATGCAAGCACTTGGGAGGCAAAGGTAGTCAGATCTCTGTGAGTTTCAGGCTAGCCTGGTCTACATAGCAAGTTCCAGGGCAGCCAGAGCTACAGAGTGAGACCCTGTCAATGAGGAAGGGAGAAGAAGAAGAAGGAAGAGGAAAAGAAAGAAGAGGAGGAGGAAGCAGATCCTTATTCTTTCAAGGCAAGCAATTTCTGACTATAGCATGTCCCTAGTCCTGGGTTCTAGTATCTTTTGAACATGAATTTGCCACCTGTGAACTGTTGGAGGGATTGTGGTAGAGGGAGGTTAACAAAATGAATTCCCAGTCCCTGCAGCCTCTCCATCTTAGATCAACAGGGGGCATCTTAGATCAGCAGGCAGCACGACGAATCCCAAGCCAGGCTCAAGTGGGGACAGGGTTTGGCTAATGTGTTAAGATACTTGAGGCAATGGAATCAGACCAGACCCAGACGTGGGGCTTTGTATAGGCTCAAATAAATGATGAGGTTAGAAGAATCAAGCCAGCAGAGTCCAAGGTGCAGGGGCAGGACTCTCCATGGTCTTTGCCTCTGGATGTCCAGTGGGTGGCGCTGTAGGACAAGGAGCTGAGGGTCTTCACAGAGTTCACTGAGATTGGCCCTGATCCTGAACATGACCCATGGGGGACAGCACCTGGGCGTTCCTCACAGGCCCGACAAGTGGAGGCCAGGTCCTGGGGACTGCCTGGGACTGCCAGCTACTCCCAATGTTACAGCAAGTCTAACCCCATCCTTGGTAGCTCAAAGCCCAATTTTTTTGGGGAATGGGGTGCTTTGGAAAACCCTCTGCCTCCCAATACAGCCACTCCTTTTGCTAAACGACGGCCCAATCCCAAGTACCTTCTACTTGCCCCTGTCCCTTTAAACGTGGGCTCATCCCATATCCATTGTAGGACTCACTCATCCCCAGTGTGTTTTAGAGCCAGGGAACAAAAACCCACGTGTATGCACAGTTTATCATGTTATCACACTCTTCAAGGTCCTGCCCACCCAGCTCTGACTGAGGATCCTGCCTCACACGCAGGCTCAGATATTAAGACACTTGCTCCGGACCATGCTGGCTGTGTGCTCTTAGCCACAGTGGCCTGGCTTGCTGGCTCTGTGGCTGACTGCCCCCCTGGCTCACCTCTGCATCCCCACCAGGCCCTGAGACTCAGGACGGCTGCAGCCAAATGAGTCGTTCAAGCCATTAGGTGGTTGAGTTCATCACAGCCACACTGAGCCAGGTTCCCAAGGGGTCAGTGTGTGGCTGCTGATGGCTTTCGGCACAGGTGTTCGTGTGCTGCATGTGAGTATATGTGTGCATGCACATGTGCCGCCTGTGTACATGTGTATGGGTGTGTATGTGGCATGTGTGCCAGTGTGGAAGCCAGCAACCGTGCAGGCTCAGGGGAGCCCCGGTCAGTTGCCACTGTGCAGAGCACCCTTAACACCTACCAGCTGCCCAGTCCATGACCCACGGGGTTTGTTTCTGGGCTCTGAGATCACTGATGGCAGAGGTACAGACCTCTGAAGGGCAGACAGAGAATAAGCCAGTCAAGGAACTGGGGTGGGCTATGTGCTTCGGAGAATTCACACAGGCTGGTGGGAACTTACCTGGGGCTGTTGGAGGAGGGACTTGGGTAAGATCTAAAAGACAAGGAAGTGGCAGGTGACAGTGTGGGCCTCAAGTGCAGCAGGCAGAGAAGAAAACAAGCTTTCAGCCTGAGGCAGAAGTAAGCAGGCCTGGGGGGGTGCTGAGAAGGGGCCAGAGGTGAGTGAGGAAAGGGGCTTGGGTAGGAAGTGACTTGGGAATGGGCCTGGGGACCTCACCTGCTGGACCTGGCCTCTTTCCTTCAGAACCTGCTTCAGAGCAAGGCTTCCGAGGAGCAGGAAGCAGGGACCAGGGGACTGGCGGAGGGGCCTTCTGAACTTGTCCGAGTTGGAATGCAGCTCAGGTGCAGGGAGTAGAGTCAGAGACACGGAGCTGCAGGCTCTGCTTTGCAGGCTGCATCAGCAAGCTGGCAATCACATCCTCGGACTTTCCTTTTCTCTTTCTGCTTTCGTTTTTGTTTTGAGACAGGGTTCCACTGTTTAGTCCTGGATGGAACTCACTATGGAGACCAGGTTGGCCTCAGACTCACAGCAATCCTCTTGACACCGCCTCCTGAGTGCTGAAATTAAAGGTGTGCACCACTATGCTGAGCTCTTTTCTTTTTCTTTCTTTTCTTTCTTTCTTTCTTTCTTTCTTTCTTTCTTTCTTTCTTTCTTT